CAGGAAAACACATTCGCCACTAGTAGATTCTAGAATAGACAGTAAGATTCTTAATTAACACAGAGAATCAGTAAATTTCTTGTTCTCCTACACTGAAATACTAAATGAGTACTGCTCTTATGTCATATGCTCATGGATATAGTTTAGTTATCTTCTGTCCCGTCAAATAAGTACTGTATTGACTGGTTACTGATCAGTAGTCATTTTCATATGCCTAGTCCTTAAGTTTGGAACTGACTGAATTGTATCAGTCAAATGTGAAATGTAGTCATCAGTCTAAGAGACTCACCATCACTATGTATTTTTCGAAATTAATCTAAGATGTTTCAAGGCAACCTGCAGGAATACTGGGTGACGTAGGTTGGAGACTGCAGATTTGTCATGCTAACGGGTGTCAGTATCCATTACACCTATATCCAGATATTCCTGCTGATTTCATCTAGCCATCTAACGTTTGCATAAACACTGCCTTATTTTGTAATAATGGGAGAGATTTATAGCTAAGAAGAATGATTCTGGTGTCATTATTTTCTCTCAGCTGGGTGGTTCAATTGTAAATTTTTTATTCTCCGTCCAGAATACACCTTCAGAGCCAGCTTAAATATTTCAGAAGCATCATATCTGGCCACAACACAGAACGCCAATAGATTTGAACTTACGGGAAAACAATGGTTCCTTCTTGTTCAGTTGCTGATATGCCGACCTAACAAGTACCAATACATATTAAACCCAGGTCTAGGAATTTCTGACCTCCAACCTGACCTAACATCAAAAAGCAAATTTTTCTCAAAAATATATTGATGTTTATTTGTAATATTTCAAAAGTATCGAAGCCTGTAAGTAAATAACTTGAACAATCGGTTTTCTAGTTAATTGACTGACTAATTTATTTATTTAGTTAATTAGTTTGTTAATTCTAATAATGCTATTTGAATAAATTAAATTATCATTGTTAAAATGGATTTTCCAAGGATTTCTGGGGCTTCATGCATGTAAGGATTCATGGGTTAGTTGAATCACATCACATATAACCGGAAGTAGAATGAACTATTCAGCAAATAATAAATAAATAGACTAGGGCGTTTCTAGACTTTTTCTTGATCTGATGATTGGTTGACTGATTTTATCTGATGGTCATCAACAGCAGAATTCAGGGTTTGTTTTGTCCTATTTGAAAACCTTCGGCTGGACATGTCTTTATCCCAGTGAGTGTTCATGAGACTGAGTTTGTCTTCGTGGCCCAGGGGTCTGGTGAAAAACGCTTTGGATTCTGAAACGATATTTGCTTGGTTCTGGTCTCAGTGGGAACACTGTCAACGAATCAAATCAAGCTACGGGAAAACGAGAATATTTCATTCAATAAATCAAGGTATGTTTCTGAAGTGATTGACACAATATCAGTTGATGGTTGACGCCAAATTTTTTGTTTCATTGTATCTTGTAGTTGTACATTAGCTGTAATTTTATTTCACAGCGAGATTCCAAAATCAGTTAGGTCTGACATTTGCTATGACATACAAGTATATAATACATTAGAAACATCTTGGATGGTTATTTTAATCCTGTTAAGCATGAATATTTAATGAAATGATCCTCGTCAAATGGGCATTTATTTTTATTTGATTGAAGTTTACATTGAATGGTTTTGGCAGTCACTAAATTCTATCAGTTAAGTTTGCAATGCTGTAACGGTTTGAACCTACAACGCCAATCAAAAAAAAAAGAAAAAACACCTAGAAAGCTGAGCTTTAACGTCATTCTGCTAAGCAGACCAAGATTCCAATCAAATAAGTGAGCATTGGAGTATAAAATGATATCATTCTATTTCAAAGGTTCTCATCAGTTGCAAATTACACGAAATAGAGAAAACATTATAAGATGAACGCATCCGGAATATAAGTATTACAATTTTTAGTTTAAGTCACCATCAGTTTATACGCTATCAAACTATGAAAAAGGGAGGGTGAGAGAAGACAGAAAAATCTAATAAACAGTGTTAGCTTGTATGTCAACATGGCAACTCAGGAAAGTTAAAGTTTATGAAATCGAGAACTTGCTTATTGAGCTGAACTCACTGGTGTGTATGACTGATCAGTGTAATGAAAGTAATACGGTTACCAAGGGAGTAAGAAACTGACTAAGCTGTCTTTCTGTGTGCATAAGTTTGGTCTGAAACGTTTGATTGAGATTGCTTCAGCGAATCGTAGTAAATTCGCTGTCCTTTGTATGTTTAATATTTTGAAGGATTTAGAAATCTCGAAAAAATGACCCGTATCCACAAGGTGTCTGGTTATTGCACTTTGTAAATATCTGCTTCTTTTTAAGCTTAAGTTTCTTGAAATATACTCTGAAAGCCGGATAGAAGCCCTTCTTTCTGTCCTTCCAAAGTACTTTTTCTTATAGTTTGATAGCATATAAATTGATGGTGACTTAAACTAA